ATATAAAAACGGTTGCCTACGTGAAATCTGGAACGGCCACAATGTTGAAGAGATCAAGATCGTATTCACGACCAAAAACCTGTTTACAAAAAGAGGAAAACGGACAGCAAACGGGGTGAGTTGATTATTGACCAAATAGACGTCAAAAGGTCGATAAGATCATGCAAAGAACTAACTTCTTCATCCCATTTCATGGCGGCTTTGAGAGAATACATGGCGTGTTCCGTCTTGGGAAGATCTTGTGCCGGGGTCCATATTCTCAGGGCAACTTTACGACCCGAACACGTTATGAAAGTGTCGTCTCGGCTCTCTAACTGTCCAGCAACTAAAGCGAAAAGATAGCATGGCTTCTTGAACGGATCTTCCCAAAGAGCAAAATGCTTGCCGCCCTGCAATGAATTCAAATCAATGTCGGCCGATTGTGATACGAAAATGCAGATTCGCGAATCTCTTATAGGGTGTGTTTGGTACACTGGACAGGACAGGACAAAACAGGGATCATTGTCCCATGTTTGGCAGGACTTTTATGTGGAACAGAGTAGAACAGGCATGTCCCACCAGCACCCCGTTGAACAAGGTGAAACAAATCTTTATTTTACCAATATAACCTCAAAATAAAACTTAATTTTGTTCTAAAACATCAAATACGCCTCCCTCTTTACATTTTATTCATTCTTTAAATTTCATTCATTGTATTTTATGATCTTTAAACTTTCACTTTACTCTCCTCAAAATATTATTTGTGTACGGTTTCAGTATTATAACTAGTTTATGTAATTTATAAACATTAGTAACAGAAAAATAATATAGGAAAAGTATCAAATAAAATTTTGAAAACTACATAAACTTTTTATTTTGGTGTCATTTTAATCGTCTTGACAAAAACTTTCTAATGATATATCTTGTTATAAGAAATATTTATTTTATTATAATTTAATAAATAACATAAATTAATAAAAATATATAAACTCATTAGGGGTACATTGGTCATTTATTTGTTTTGTCCAGTCCAGTTCCGTCTCACCAAACGCACCTAAAGGTGGGAGGTCATGATCAAGCCAACAACGAAAAAATTTATAAACTAAACCAAACCAGACAGCCCAATATATCYCAGATCACGGTTTGGTGGTCGGCGGTTCCAAATTTCATAAACCAACAGTTTTGGTTCCGCCCCATGAAACGGCACAAAACCGATCAAACCGAACCGAGTTTGGCACTAACCGATAGACACAACACACAAAAAGAAAAACCTCTAGGTCTCCTTGCTCGATGAGGTTTCCATTAGACAACAACACCGGGTACAATGACTTGTCGGCCTCAATACGACAAGTATATTTCGCCATAATATCAGGACGATCCTGAAAAAGAAAATGCGAACAAATTTAGAAAACGAGTAAAAAGAAGAACAAGAAAACAAATCAACAATCAGTTCAAGTGAACCTGATAAAATGTTATCTTCCGGAAACCTTCTGCTTCACATTGTGTACAGAAATTACCCGAAGACTTGTAAAGACCCTGATTCAACGCAATTTTGATTATTAAATGACAATTTCACCCTTAATAATAAAGAGAGTAATGAATTTCTCTATCTCGTAATTAAGGGTAGAATTGGAAATGGTACAGAGTAGCCGTTTTACCTCCAATGATGTGTTCTTCTGTGGTAAAATCTCGGTGAGAGTTTCCAAGACAAAATTCCCACTTGGAGGCGATGTGAGAATAAGATGTCGTGAATCCACATGAAAATCTCCCATCTGAAAAAAAAACCGTACATTTAGCCTTAGCATGTGAAACCCGATTAAAAAGAACCATCAAGACTCAAACTTTGCAAACCTTCAGCTCGTTGCCATTAACTTTAACCGAAACCAACTTGAGATCAGTCCCATTCAAAACCAATGGAGACCCGGCACCTGTTCAAAACGATATCCATCCCCAAAAAAATTAACAAAAGAAAGCAACTCTACTATATATTCCAAGTGGGTGAAAACTGAAAACCGAAAATCGCAAAACATACCATCAACTCTAGGAGCGACGCTGATTTTTGCTGACACGATTGTTTTTTCCTCGCCCAACGAAAAACTCAGATCCACCTGATTTCACAACTCATTAGCGCACATAGCCAAACCAAACGAACCCAGTATACCCCACCTGAGGTGGTGGGGTCCAGGAGAGTAAGATGTATGCAGACCTGACCTCTATCCCAAAAAAGTAGAACTGTTGTTTCTAATTATAATTTATAAATCCTAAAAATAACCCAAATTTCAGTTGAACCAAGTACAAACCGTATCGAAGTAGTAATCTGGTAATTCGTAATCTTTTAGGAAGATCTCTTTAGGAGCATCCATATTCGATTCTTCAACCGACTTTGGCAAAGAATCTGTTGCCACGGAACGAACGAGTGTTCTACTGGTTTGATTTGTTCTCTGAAGATCAAACATGTATCGATTATCAAAAAAAAGTCAACTCGTTTAAGGACTGAAATCATTTAACAAAATGGTTCAAGTGTAAAGACTAACCGACAAMGAATGGTATGGAAATCGGCAGCTCCTATGTGTAATCTGCTAAACAATAATAAACCACAAGTAACGTTCAACATTAGTTAATGAGAGATTGTTAAGCTCGGAAAACCGTTTGAATAGAACTAATGCAAACCTCTGAATTATGATAATGCCGGTATTTAGAGATGGTATTTGCAAATTTTGCAGATGGAAGACGGGAAGTAGCTTGAAGCTGCAACGTTTCAGTCGTAAATGTAAGAATTCACGTGAAATGCTTTACAACACACTTTAATCATTAAAATATCAGCCGACTGATACAAAAAATAACAAATTGGGAAAGAAAGAAAAAAGAACAAATCTTGTGTGAAAAAACCCGTATGGACATTGGCATAACTCTCTTTGATGGGTGAATTGATTCACAAATTATAACAGAAACATTTATATAGAAAGCATTCCGAAATCACCATATTTGATTTTATTCTTTTGGTATAATGGGCACGTCTTGACTAATCCAATGGGGCCCTAAAGATAACAGCCAAGAAAATCCATAGTGGCACATATGAGACTCGAACCATTGACCTAGAGAGAGGAGCCACAAAGGGGTTGTTTAGTTGGTTTCCCATTAAGTCCTGTATGGATAAAGATGTTTGTGTGGATTAATCTGTCTGTATAGATTGGGAAGATTTTTGTTTGGAAGGGATTTTTCGTGGATGAAAGGAGCGTCTTATATAACTGGGAGGGCAGGTTTGAATAAAACTCGGCTTTCCGCATAAAGCTCCCCCCTAGAAGCTTACTTAATAAGCCACTTTCTATATCATCAAGCCACCACCAAACAGTCATGTATAGCTGACTGCATAAGCTGCGAGTCTCATTAAGCTGCGAATAAATAGGCCCAAACCTGTTTGTTAGCAACTTACTGAGCTTAATGAGACTCGCATCTTATTTGATCGGATATACATGACTGTTTGGTGGTGGCTTAATGATACAGAAAGTGGCTTGTCCAGGAAGCTTCTAGTGGGAGCTTTATGCAGAAAGCTATGTTTTTCCAAATCTGCCCCTCCCAACTAAATAACACACTACTTCTATCTACAAAAAAACCCTCCCAAACAAAACCTTCTCAATCTATACAAACAACTTAATCCATACAGAACTTCATGGAAAACCAACCAAGCAGCCCCTCGACGGCTAGTTCAACCAACAAATAAAAACCAGGCCTTTGGCTCCTTCCCATAGGAAGCCATTTTGAGCCACAATCCTATGGCATTAGTCGAGATGCACGCAAAAAGCCCGACACCCACGGCTAAAGAAAAACCAACCCTATTGCATCAAGACTCTTTGGCTTTGCAATCGAACGATTTCCATTACATTTCTGCAAGAACCATATTCCTAATGACTCAAACCCACGAAAAGAAACCTTAACTTCTCCAATTAACACAAACTTAACCACTCTTCAGTAACAAAAAGTCATTAATCTTTACAAATCACGATCTTGGAAGCATGATTTGGTAACCTAAACAACATAAAAACACAGCTAAAATACACAAAGAATCAATAGATGGTATTTGGGGTAATCACATGAGCAGATGAAATCAAACCCAAGAGACAAGTCCTCGGCAAGCTCGAACCTTTGCATGGAACAATCAATCGAGCCATCATCAACTAATCAGATTCCAATATACCCACCCAGATGAAAACGATTACCCCCTTTTAAAAACCCTAAATCACTCGATCGAGTGTGAGTAGGGTTACGATTTGGGTGTTTTTCTTATAAGGGTTGTGATACAAGATAGGGTTAATTTGAAATCATGGCCAAGAATAATCAATTAAAAACAGATAAATGAAAATGAAATTGAAAATGGAAATGGAAATTACCTTTGTTTGATCTGAGTGATGAAAACCAGATAGCCTTCAGAAAAACCTAAGATGAAACAAAGGTATAAAGAAAAAGGCCCAAAGAGTGGATATTTAAAGTGTTGATGATGATAGCGTATGGATACTTATTTGCCAGCTTCATAGATTCGAAATCGAATTGATTATCTCTTACTTTTCTTGATTAATCAGTTCTTTTCATATTCTTTTGTCTTTTTTTAAGATAATTCAGATCAAAATAAGTTTAATTTTAAGTAATATGTATCAATAAGCAGTATGATGTAACATAGCCTGCAAAAACAATCGGACGATCTATAGTTTCAGTATGATGTAACAAAGCCTGTAAAAAAAAATTGGAATTACCCTAAAAAATGTGCATCAGGTCTTGAGATATTACAACAAAACTAAAATCGAAGGAAAACCAAAAAACGATAAATTAAATCAAACTAATATAATCTGATTAAAGTGTCGTTTACCAAATGCTTATCCAGGTCTGGGTAAGCGTTTATCAAGTCAATTTACTTTACCGGGTGAATATGGCAAAGACTAAGAATCTTACCCGGTAAGAACAGAAGCAAGAAGCTCGAGTCTTACCCGGTAAGTGAGAAAAATGACTTTTACTATGGTTAGCGCTTACCGAGATAAATTGTTGCATACGATGCGTTTTAGTGAATAAAATCTTGTTCGATAAGTAAGCAATAGTATTTGAATTTTACTGGTAAGTGCTTACCGGGTAAGTGTTTAAGTAAACGGTCGTTTTTATTTATAAAACCAAATTTTATAAATATCTTGATGGAAAAGATGATTTTTAAATAAACATTGAACCAATAATAAATACTAGAAGGATACTCGTGCAATCTAACAAGATATATTTCGATTTTATTATTTTATTTTATTTTTTGTCCATTATCGATATAATACGGTTTTATGTAATTTTGAAAAAATAATAATGTTTTTATTT